TTTGTGGGTGCTAAGTGAATGCTCCATTTGTGTACTAGAGAGAATGCCATGGCCTCTCCATATATTTCCCCTGGAACTTTTGCAATGGAGAATAACAGCGTCACTGTATGCGCACGGGGGGGGGGGGGGCAGTGTTGGCGCTGGCATCTCTATGTGGAAAATCAATATTGTGTGAATGTCACAAACAGGACCAGCAGGGCATAGCACCAACTTCTCATGCTAAGCACGAGTTTGGATGGGGCAAACAGCAGTGACTCCACTCTCGCTTAATTTTGTGCTGTGCCACACACCTCCCAGTGGTCATTTTGGGACTGATGCCCTTGGTAGCAGCCTTAATTGCTACTTCTATATAATTCAAGGTAATAAATACCATCTATGAAATGGTAAACATTTTGAATTTTATTATCAACTTTTTAATAAAAAAGTTCATCACAAAATCAACAGAGAAACGGGGAGTGGGAGGAGAGGTATTTAGCAATTTATCAGGATACAAGTATGGGCACCTTCTGTTTCTACAGAAAATGCACTGCTTGTGGTAATCATAAATGGAATGGAATGTTTCTGTGAAGGTCCACAGGCTTGCCAGTGCCAGGGAGGCTGGCCATGTGCTGTGTGAGCCTTTCTTCATACAGTAAGCGCTGCTGAACAGTGTGACGAGGAGGGAAGTTGCCAGCACCTGTGATTGTGTAGCCAAAGGCCTTTTGTGTTTGCTTCTGAAGTAGTGTAATTTCCATGTCTCATCACCTCATTTTCACATACAGAAAATGTGTTAATTGCCCCATTTTAATTAGTAATAAAAAAATTAGACGCTGCTTTGCTTTTGTGAAAGTATGAAGTAATCAAGCATGTTGCTATGTTCACACTACCATTCGTGAAACAAATAAGCTTGCAAGTGATCTTTCCACCCTCACAAATGATGGCCAATCTAGACCCCAGACATTCACTGCAAGAAGTTCATTAAAGACTTTACTGCATCCACAATAGAATTAAGGCATTTCTGGGTTACATAAATGTTAACAAATTAATATAATTAATGTATTCATTAATTTAAAATGTAACTGTCAAAATACCAGTTGCGCCATGCTCCTCTGTCAACTGCCACCAATAACCTTCGCTCAAGCTATAGGAGTGAGAAAGATGGGGCAGAACCACTTCAACCACTGAAAGACTAGCAACCTTTGGCTCATCTCCCAAATGCTTATATTTTTGCTGTTTACTACAAGATCTCTGCAACTAATTCTGTGTTCACACTTCCATTTACTGGACTCTCACTGCTTTTCCAGTGCTGAGTTTTTAATCCACGTTCACACATGCATATGTATCCTGTGCTTTATTATAAGATACAACTGTATGATGCCTTGGTACTCAAACCAACCTCAAACTTAAGCCATTCCTAATTTGCATAGGCTAAGGACACCCCTGCCTTCTCAGTGTCCCCTGGTGTGTACACAAACGGAAACAAATGGGGAACTGATGAAGTCATGATGATGTGAACGGGGTGGGGGTGGAGACATGATATACAACAATTAAAGAAAAGAAAGCTCCATTAAGTGCATGTATTGCTTTTCGTTTGCTCCCCGTTCCTTTTGTGTCACCTCTCTCTTACTGTGGGCACAGACTGTCTTCTCACTGATATTTGTAAGCTGCTCTGGAAGCCTATTTCTGCAGAACAGCAGGATAAAAATGCCAATGATAAATCATAATAACAGTTTTAATATATGAAGGAAAACATGTCCCAGTTTGGCAGCACTGCATTCAAGTAACATCAAGTTGGATAGGTGGGTTGATAAGCTGCACTGCATCTCCACAGGGGCATATTTACAGAGGCTACTTATCAAAAAGTGAATGCCTAATCTATGATCTGTAATTCATATGAAATTTGCTCTTATCTTTCAGGCTTTTGACTCTATCCTTAACCATTTTTTTCTACTTCTTTATGGATGAAAATCTCTGAACAGTGTGTAAATGTTTATAAATAGGTGTCCACTCTAGAAACAAGTTATATGCTACATCTCTTTTAAAATGTTTAGATGCACTTCTGCAACGAGAACTTGCAAGTGAGGCCAAACCAGCTGAATCCTCTGCACCAGCAAAGGCTTGCACAGCTGTCAGTCATTTAGGGAGTGGTGAGGTGAGGCTAGGAGAAAAAGAAAAGAAAAGGTGAGCCTACACCTGCCTTTCTCAACTTTGGGTCCCTAGATGTTATTGGACCACAACTCCCACCATTCCTAGCTAACATGACCAATGTTGGGTATTGTAGTTCAATAACACATGGGGACCCAAGGTTGAGAAAGGCTGTGTAAGCGGGGCTCTTCTGTTATTTCAGTGGCACAGGAGTTGTTTCTCCACGACTTTTCCCCATGCTGGTACATTAAGTCCAGAATGATATGGGAAGAACCAGCTGTATTGGTTCCTTTTACCTGATTGTCACCCTGTCTTCCTACTCATCTGGTGATGGTCAGTTGAAAATGAATTATATGATTGGTCCCACCTATGTGGTTCTGGGCTTCAAGACATTAACATGCTTCTTGTGAAAAAACAGACATGTTCTGTGATTGGGGCCTAGATTAAATTTGGGTTAATAGCTGAACACAACTCTCCCAGATTTGGAGATACTGCAAGCTCATCCCTAACTTGTTTTTGCGGAATTTGTGAAAGGACCTCAGTAGCTATGGGGGAGTCCCGCCCGGAAACCAATGTCCCCACTGTGGAAGGACATGTGGATCCAGAATTGGCCTCCACGGTCACTTATGGACTCATTGTTAAAACTATGTTTATGGAGGACAATCTTACTCGGCTGTGAGTGATCGCCAAAGAAGAAGAAGAAATTTGGGTAATTCCATTTGATTGCAAGTCAGATTTTGACCACAGCACATCTGAATTTGTATGCATGTCTGAATAGGTATCTGGTTAAAAAGGAATGACCTCGTCTGGAAAAAAATGTATTCTAGAAGAATGTCAGAGTGCCAGACTGCGTGACCTTGGTCAAATCTTTATCAGCATAGGCTATCTTAACAGAGTGGCCTTTGAGGCAAAACAGCTGCATTGAACTCCTAGGAAACAGGGCAGGAAATAGAATCATAGAATTGGAAAGGGACCCTGTGGGATCATCTAGATCCACACTCTAACCAACTGAGCTGTCCAATTGGAAGTAATAAATCTATTGGAACCAGCTTTTTTCACTTTCAGCACTGACTATTTAAAAGTTAAGCATAGTCTCTAAAATACTTTCCTTCTCTTGGAACTATTTAACTCCAAGCAAATTTATGGAAATGACCCTCATTCAGATTAATTGAATTGACTGTATGTAAGTGGGAAGACAGCCCTAGTGTGCTGACTTGAGCCCATGTGTCTAAGGTTGAGACATGACTCCTCATAATAAATGTCTCAGGGCATGTGCATATATATATTTAAAAGAAATATCTTTCCAGTGGTTACACTTGCCATCATTTCAGATACCTGAACCTTGATCCCAATTTCATTTTGATAATTTGTAGTCAGATATGTCCTTGCAGTGGAATGTTCTCTTGACCTCTTGCAACATCATACAAGAATGTGGTGCAAATAAAAGCCTTTAAAAATTGCAAATCCAGTACGTATTAATCATTGCATCATCATACAATTGCCACTGTATGGTAGAATTTTATTTGCACAATCCAGTGCACTTGGGTTTATTGAATGCACTGAATAGCTTCTACTATATTAGTGCCTCTTGTTCATTGTGCTATCTAATTTACCAGTAATTGTTTTCATGAACTTATCAAATTTTATCTCAGAGTTCATTAAAAACATGCTGGGCAAAGAGGATCAATTTACTAATTCAAGTTTATAAAGAAGCAGGCATTTGTCCTTGAATTTATACCATGGCTATTGCAACAGAAGGTTCAGAGGAGAATAAATATTCTGGCACAACGGAATATCAAATACTAAATTTCAAGCTAAAGCCCTTCTTAAAAAGTCAAAACTTGTTCTTAACTCTTATCTGAATCATGCTATATGTGGAATTTTATCAGAGAGATTTAAAAATCAGTGTGCTGACCACAAGATTGGTCTGGACCCCAATTTGGTGCTTTGTGAAACAGCTTAATTTGGGCTGGACCAATATTTGGAGGTCGTCTGATGTGGCTCAGCAGTCCAGGTCTCTTTCATTTCCCCCATTCACTATTTGGAAATCTGTGATAACCTTTTCCACTTTTGACAGAAGTAGATGAATATTGCACAGAGTATTGGCTAAAACCTATCAAATTATAGTCCAGGGAGCCGACCATCTCTAATCTGGACACCCCCAAAAAACACACACCCCAGAATGGTCTATAGTTTTTGTTATTATTTTGGCCAGAATTTGATTAAATTAGCAGTCACTCCTTCTGGAGGCATGAACTCAGTTAAATTTCAGACAGCTAGCTGCTGTACTTTCCCCATAAGGGCAGCTGTTGTACTTTTGATATCTGTTCAATTCCCCTGTGTCAGTATTTAGGAATAAAAAATGGCTCAAACTTTATTTTAACAGAATTGGGTGAAATTTGTAGACATAGCGGCTCTTCCGGCATAAATAAGAGTGGTCAAGTTACAGAAAAATGGTTATAACTTCTCGTATCCTGAAGCTAGCTGCCAGTGACAGAAGGAGCTGTGCCGTTTTCTCTTTTCTTTCAAATCCCCACCTGAAATGGGAGGTTTGCTTTCTCCTCCACCCCACAACATGGGACTGACTAGCTGTATGCAGTTCAGTGGTATACATGTATGGCTCTTCAGCTGCAACTCCTAGCTTAGCTGAAAAAAGTCCTAGGCCTAGGGTCCTCTTTATAATACGTTTATCATCACAGCAAGTTATGAAGGAATATTTGCTCCTGAATTTGCAATGGCATACAGAAATGTCTTTAAATATTGGATATGCATTGTTATGTTGTGAGATTCAGGGGTTGGACAGGCCTTTTGTTTTGGGAACTTGGTGGTGGCACAGCCCGGATATGCTTTCTGAATGTCTAGGAAATACCTGAAAGGGGGTGTATATTTCTTATTTTCCTTTGCTTGCTCTTCCTCTTCCTAGATGTGATCTAGGTCTGTGGGTGAAAAGAAGAAATGGAAACCAGAGATTTGAGTGAGGAATAAGAGAGGGGCAGAGCAAGAGGCAGAGAGCTGGGTGTGGGGATCTGCAACTGCGGGAGCATTTTGGACGGCGGTCTGCCTTTCTCTGGAGACCTGATGTGGGCCAGGGATAAAGAATCTCTGCCCCCCCCCGACATGTTGAACTGCAGCGCAGTTAATTAAGTCAAATATTACAAAACACCATAAGCATTCACTAACCTCCTTCCAAAGGAAACCAAACCTGGGTAAGCACTGCCACCCTGCCATTTCTCACTGCTTGGGTATAATAAGGGTCAGTGAGTAGTTGGGGCAGTCTGCTTAAATGTTAAGAACAGAAGCTTGTCCTTTGGTGGGGAAGGAGGACATTGCTCAGTGGTAGAGCATAAGATTACCATGCGAAAAGTCCCAGATTATCTCCTGTCATCTCTTTGTCAAAGATCTCACATTGCAGAGCTAAGAAATCCCCGGCCTGTGACCTTAGTCTTACTGCCAGCAGAAATGACAATAATGGGTGAGGTGGAGCAACGCTTCTACTCCTTTCATGACTAAGCTTCATATGTTCATAATGTCTGGATATTATGTGCTTGGAAAATGTAGATTAAATATATCTACTGCAATGCATTTTGTTTTGTACTTGAACCTTCTGGGAAAGTGTACTTTGCACAAGCAAAGTGCACTGCATTCAGCTAGTGTGGAAAGCTTTTCTAGTTTCCATTGTATTTTTCTGCCCTCTCGTTTCATGCTGTTCTTGCCTGTAAAAATAGATACATCCATTTACCACGGGCTCAAATGCTCACCAAGGCTCAATGGGAGCCATAAAACATTCTCTGGATAACCTAAAAGCTTTTCTATGCCTAAAAATGTCATGACATTAACATCCAATACCTTGGGACCTTCTTGGAATGGAAGGTGGGAAATCACTCCTTTTCACATAGTATAAAACTGTCGTTTCTAGCCATAGAGGGTTGCAAGATAATGGACTTTAAACCTGTGGCATATTTATGTATAGGAAAGGTGTCACTGAGGCTGGGTTAAATATACTGTTGCATCTCAGGCCGATTTAATTTGGGGGGTGGGATGGGGAACTACCTCAATTATGGGAGCAGAAGGCAGGCTTTTATTTGATACTTAAATGGTGATGGTTGTGACATTTGAGAAGACCGACATCAAATTGGCATTCGGGCAAAGAGAAAGGACAAAGCTTGAAATGGCATCACAAAAGGAACTACACACTTACTTAAATCAAAGATTTGTTTAATTTGGAATAATGCTGGCTTCACGTTAGGATGGCTTAGCATGATCATGTACCTTGGTTACTTTCTCTCGTGTTCTGTGTGTATAATAGGGAAGCTGGAATATGCTTCTACCTCTTGGTGTGTACATTTAATCTGCATGGTCTTCTCACATGAACACCTATTGCTTACTTGTGCACAAATAATTAGGAGCCATTGTGGTGCAGTAGACGGTGTGCTTGGACTGGAGAGAGCTGGTAGTCAAATATTTGCTTAGCTACAAAGTCCATTGAGTGACTTTGGTTCAGTAATTCCCATATCGCCATAACCTACCTCACAAGATTGTTATGAGGATAAATGAGGTTAGTGACCTGTGTATTGCCAGAGCTGCTTGGAGGAGGGGAGGGGGAAATATAATACATATTCATATTTTGTCTTTGGTTCTTCCTTGATGCAGTGCTTTGTGAGAAGTGATGTTTCTGAACTGAGCACACTTCTTGCAGGAAACTGAAGCATTTTTCAGATAATAATGTGTCATTGGTTTTTCAGCCCAATAATTGTGCATTTGTTATACAAACATCCTCCTTCAGCTCTGTGTTTCTGTTGCGCAGTTGCTGGGCATTCTAATACTCAAGGCAATATTTAGTTGCTGTGAGCAACACAACTCTTTTCCGTGTTCTAAATTCTCAGTATGTTGATGGTTTTCCCACCTGTCAGTTACTGCCTAGTTTTATGCCTCTCTTCCACTGGTGATGGGGGAAATGGGAAAATGTGGGGCAGGGTGAGAGGAGATCTGAATTTAGCAGATGCTGTTTTGAGTTCTGCCGTACCATTAATCAGAGTGAGGCAACCTCAGGCAGCATATGTTGAAGGAGAGACGGCAGAACCCCTTGGCCACAATTTCCCCCATCTGTCTGGGGACGGAGTTGTCTGTGCTCCAGTCTCCTGCTCTGTGTCTGCTCTGCTAGCCTCCTCCCTGCAGGGGCAATGGAAGACACTGTCCCTTTCCCTGTGTTAAAGAAGAAGATTTAGCTGCCGGTCTTGTCAGGCAGCAAAGTGCCAGGGGCCAGTCCACTTTCTCTCGGGTCTCCCTGTGGCCCTGTTTGTATTTATTCCATGCTAAAGGTGAAATGCCAGGAAAAGGCTGGCCCACCCATGAGGCAAGGTGAGGCAACTGCCTCAGTCTGCCTCCTGAGGTAGATCTGTCCCCTTCCCCTCCGTTCCCCCCCACTCCTTCGTCCCGGCAGGGAGGTTGTGGCCTTCTGGTGATTCACCTCAGGGGCCAAGTTGGCTTGGTCTGGCCCTGCTCACCATTGCAATAAGGATCTTATTTGCTTCTTTTAAGGCGGTGCAGTCTCCCACTTCAGCATGTTTGATTAAAATAAAATAGTGAACATATTTGTGGAATTTCCTTCCCAGAGAGATCCTTTAAGCCTGCTTTCTATTATCCTTCTAAGGGTTGACAAAGACATTCCTGCTGCAAAAGGCCCTTGAGGCAGAGGCCTCGTGACTAGGGCTGCCATATTTCAGACACAAAAGTTGTTGAGTTTTTTTTTTATGAGAAATACCTCCACTTCTGTCATGGGTTGCCATACGTCCAGATTTTCCCGGACATTTCAGTGCTTCATTACATGACTGAGGTGCATAAATTGGTGCTGCGTTGCTGTGATGGTGAGACATGCTTCTCTAATAGTTTTCAAGTTTTTAAATGATGTTTTATATTATCAGTTGTTTTATGCTGATGAGTGTAAGTCACCCTGGGAGCCCTTGAGAATATGACTATAAATATTGTTATAAAATATAAATATATAAAATATTCCACTAGTGGTGGTGATCTTGGGCTTGTACAAGAATAACATTGTGAAAAAGGTGTGTGTGTGTGTGTGTGTGTGTGTGAGAGAGAGAGAGAGAGAGAGAGAGAGAGAGAGAGAGAGAGAGGTGTTTAATGCTTTGGAAAGGACCTTAAAGTTGTAATTAATTGCAAGTTTGGGAATGAATGTAGAAATCTTTTGCCCAGTTCAGTTTTGGCAAGGAGGCAAATGAGTTGGCATAAAAAGTGTATGCTACAGTCAGGTTGTCTTCCCAGTCAATGCCTCAGGCAGAGCAGTTGAGTGAAGGTAGACTGAATCTGCTCCAGAGGCTTAGTGTCTTGGTGTAGCAGAGCAGGAGAGCAGAAGCGAGATTATTTACTATTCTTGGAGGGCAGAGATCTTTTTGTTGTCTGGTTTCTTTTTTGGATTTATCCACAACAGAGTTCAACAATCAAGTTGCAAGACTTTGCACAGGTCAGTTTGGAGGGCCTGTGCATTGTACATGACTCTGTCACCAAAGTGGCGATCTCTTTTTAGAAAATGTATATTCCATGTTTTGGACTTTGGCTGAAGATCTCAGAGCAGTTCATAAGATAAAAATACTGGATAGAATACAGCTCAAATTCCACCAATCAGGTCAGCCTCCTACTGCCCCTGGGGGAGCTGATTTCATCCTTATGGCTTTTGTATCTTTTAAGGTCTAGCTCAGTCCCTCCTGGATCAGCCAAGGAAATACAACGGACATGTGTTTTTGTGGGTGATTGGTTCATCTATCTAGGAATATGCAAGTGGAAGCAAGCTTCCATGCAGTTATTATATCAAGCTGGACTGAAACAGATATATGGGAACTTATCAGAAATAGCTTTTATGAGATGACCTACCTTAAACTGTGGTTGTAATTGTAGAGGCAGTCACCACATATTATTGTGTCTGGCCTGGAAGGTCCTCACACTAGTCTCAGCTACCTGCCATAAGTGGTACCATTGGTGCTCATCTTATTGAGCACATAACTTAGAGAACAGGCTGTGGAGGATGGAGCCACCCCAATGAAGAATGGAGCTCATCCAGGAGCAAGACCTGCATGAAAGCCCCAGGACGAGTACCTGTCTTCCTGAAGGGTGCCTGCCCTCACTGGCCTTCAAGGGCATAACCTCAACTTCTGCAACACTTTTGAGGTGAGCCACCACCTCAGCACCCTGGAGCGGCTGGGAGACATCAACAGTTCCAGCTTCGCCAAATTCTTCATGAAGAACTTCTTCACTAAAAGGACAAAGGAACTCAAACCTGCTGTTCACAGTTCTCCTGTGCACAAGGCAGGAAAGGAAATAATTGTAATTTGGGGGCAGTCCTACCAGACCCATCCTCTGCCCACCCTGCATAAACTCCTGCTCTCGCTCTCCTCCCACTGGACCCACCCTCTGCCTGCGCAGTTTGGATTATGACTTCAGATATGGGTCAAACTGTGTTCCATATTAAATCAGTATTAAATCAGGGGTGTAGAATGCCGTCCCTCCTGAAACATGAGGTGCCCCCTCCACACTGGCACTCTGCTTCCTCTTGAAGACACACCTGGTTAGGCAACCATCCGCCTGAACTTGAACTTCTTTCTCTTTTAACTGTTTTAATTGTTGTGCTTTTTATTGGGCTTGTTCTACTGTATATTTTAAATATAGATGCTTTTAATGTTTCAATGGAATTGTTTTCTTGCATATTTTGATTATGTATGGATTTCTTAATTGACCTTATGATAATAAACTGCTTAGAAGTCAGTCCATTAATATATACACTTAATATTACTCCATCTTACAAACGCACGGGGCGCAACGTGCTGCTACATCTCTAGGATTATAACATGTGGAGCCACTTGGGTTTGCATGGCTAGTTTTAAATAATTTGGGCAGGAGCGGATGTATTTTGTAGTAGGCTGTTTTCGAAATAACTTCTTTTAAAAGGAAAACCATTAAAAAAACGCAGTTATTTGTGAGCAGAACAAAAACATTTAATAGAAACTTGGAGGCTGTGAAAATCAGTCACACGGGGGGGGGGGGGCGAAGATTTGATGTTTGAGGCTTTTGAACTGACTTGGAAATTTTCCATGCAGTTCTTCGCTGACTGACATGTACAACCTAGTATAATGATATGAGATTGTACCGGAGTATTTAAATTTCAGAATGATTGATTAGCTTATAGTGACAGACTGCCAACCTCTACAAGCTGGTGCCATAGTGCTATCCCAATAGCAGCACTTCCATCTGAAGTGGATTTGCCTAACCTTTGCAGCATCAAATCATAGGATTTCAAGGCCTGAAGAGGATCTTAAAAGTTCAATAGTCCATCATCTGGCACTGAAGCAAGACCAATTAGACTTCACATATCTCAACTATTCTTCAGGCTAAAGTCGTTTTCAAAATATACAGTAATAGGGGTTCCACAGCCTTTCCCTTTTTGTTGCCACATGGATGAAATATTTTCATTTTTATCCCAAAATCTTTTGTTCATTTTGAGCTCATTTTCCTTTGTATTACTTCTGGTGGTTATAAAAAAAGCAGTTAATTCCCACCTTGTTTGTCATTGTAAGCCCACAACTTAATGCACACTCTGTTTTATACGCTTCGCAAAAAACATTAAAAAGGGGGGGGAGGGCAGAAAGAGGGAGGAGTTCCGGGGAAAACGACTTTGGCAATCCCACCCACCATTGAACCCAGTGGGTTTTGAATATACCTGATTTTGGCTTTCGGTGCAATCCCTGCAAAAGTTGCAGGCTTACTGTATTTGAAATGTCCTTAGAGATTATTAATAGATTGCAGCTATGAAGCAATTGAGTACAAGAGGACCATATAACACTAGCTGCCTGTTTGCTACTAAGCCAAATTCAAGGTGCTAATTTTGATATTTGTTTGATAGGCAGCTTAAAAACCAGGTATCCGAAGGAGCATCTCTCCAGGCCTGGCCCTGTCCATGATCTGAGATGTGTTGAGATGTCCCTTCAGGTTATTATATCATCAAGTAAAGTCCAGTTGTCTGGAAACTCTGGGATGTTCTACACCCTGAAGTTAGGCTGGTATCTCCATTAACCTGCTTTTAGCACCAGATGAAAACACTGTTGTTATAACAAGCTTCTGCACGAACAAAAGTATGTTTCGGAGTAAGATAACTGGCAAACTACCCATCTTATCTGTGCGGCCTATAGGTTGGTTTTCTATGTATATAAGAGATGATTGTATAGTTGCATGTTGTGACCCACTCTGAGATCAATGGACACTGTCTGTCCTGTGAAAGGAAGAATGAGGGGAGCAGGCAAAGGCAACATCAGAGCCTGCTCTGGTTGTGCCGCCCTGTTCTACTGCGCCCCAGGACCAACTTTTGTATGGCAACCTGGCATATGCTGGCAGACATTTTTTAAAGGTTTGTTTTCTCTCTGCCAGGCTTAGGGCAGCTCAGTCAGGAATGTAGCTGCTGAATGTAGTTTGGATCTGGTATAACTTGAGACTGGCTTAATTTACACCAGCTTTTGGGATGTTCTGCCTTACCTTGTAAAGTGTTCCTAAGCAATGACTGCATAAGGGTTGGGTCCCTTTGTCCATACAATACAATGGAGAAAACATGAGTTATATATGCACCACCATTCATTATTATTAGAGTCATGTGAATTTTTGTGCTCCTGTATTGGTTTCCAATTACAAAATGTCTCAAAAATGCACCTTCTATGTTTCTGAGAATCAGCTTGGGGATTCCATGTGACGCTTCCGCTTTGTGTCTGTTTTCCTTGGCAGTGAGCTAGACATAGGCATGAATATTCTTCGTTGCATTAGCACTTCAATACAAATTTGGGATTGCAGGTGATGATGAGAGAATCTCTTTCCTTCTCCTCATCTCACTTTCTATTTTCAAACTTGTGGCGTGCTCAGTTTGCTGATTTTTGAAATGAAGTCTTTATTTTACTATCAGTAAATATGCCGGTAACACATATTGATTCTTAGATGCACTGGGCTCCCCTCCCCTCCTTATTAGGGATCTCTGCACTGATTGCAATATTGGCAACAGACAATAGTTTGAAGAGGACATTGAAAGTACTTAAAGAACACAAATAGAGCTCTGCTGGATCATCTGGTCTGGCATGCTCTTCTCAAGGTGGCCACCCAGAAGCCTGTGGGAAACCTGCGAGTGGAACCTGAGGCCAACAGTTCACTCTCTCTGTGCTGTGCAGCAAGCCGTGTTCATACCACCT